CGTGTCCAAGTTCAACATGGGAAATGGGGAATGGAATGAAGGTGGGAGGGGAAAAAGGTCCTAGGCCAGCTAGCGTCCCCTTTGAAATTCCCTGCCGGGGAAAGTGATGGCGGGGCAGGAGGAGGCGGAAGGAAACAGATGCAAGCTCTAGGAAGCAAAGGGATAGGTAGGGGGGTTAACAGGTGTGCACTTATGCCAATACATTAAGCCATAGCAATAGTGGTATTGGCCTATGTACGTCTATTTATAAGGCAACTCACCAAGGCTGGACACCGGCCTTGGGCCTTAGCTCATACCTTTCCTCAGTACAAGAACACTTTGTTCTAACAAATTGGCATTCTGTGATGCTCACCCCCTCCCCCTACACGATCGTTGAAGACAAAATGGGTGCATAAGCAGATGTGGTGAAGACAGGATGGTGCCAGCTATTAGTGTCTGGGGTCTTAAAGGCTTGAAGTTAAACAAGCGGCCATCCAACAGTGTAGCAACAAGCCCACATGGAAGAAGCACACCAGCCGGTGCGATCATGAGGTGGCATCGAGACTGGGTAATGGGTATCAGAAGATTCACAACAAACAGTAAACAAACAAACAAAAATGCATTGGTGAGAATGGAGGGGGGTTGGAGTGGAGACCCAAAACCCATCTACGGACAATGGAGTATCCTCCCATAGAGGGGTTGCAGGGAGGGGATGAGTCGATCGGTGCAGTAGAGCAATAATGGGTCATGCAATATACCTCTGTTTCCTGCAGGCCTCCTCACCCTCCACTATCACAAGCTCAGTGCTGCCTCCCAATCTAGACTAGACGGGAGCATGTACATAGGTATGGGCAAGAGGTAAAACTCACCATACATGGAACCAGGAACAGGAATGGGAATAGGGATCCCAAAAGGTAGGGGGAAGGGGGGGTCGAGGTGGGGAGGGAGAGGTACACTGATCACAACGCATGGCACATAACCACACACCCCCAGTCAGGAGGATGAATAATAGAAACCAGAGGGGAAGGGACACAGCTGTCAGAGTGAGATTTGAAAATAATTAACAATCTACAATCCTTCGGGGCGCCATGAGGGTTGTGGGGGTGTGGGGGGGGAGGTTGGGAAAAAAGAGGAGCTGATACCAAGGGCTCAATGGAAAGCAAAAGTCTAGAAAAGAACAATGGAATATGTCGGAGACAATTGATGTATGGCTTGTAACAAGAGTTGTAAGAGCCCCAATAAAATGATGAAAAAATAACAATAAATTCCCTTCCAAGGATCACCCCTGTCCATATGGTTCAGCTTTTGTCTCTACCTGCAAGGAAGGCTGGGAGGAGGGAGTACCCCAGGCTGCTGTGGCTGCTTGGGACCGTGCTGACTCCCAGCGACCCCACGGAACGAAGTGGAACTGCCTAGCAGGGTTTGCTTGACTGTCATGTAAAATATTTTAATGGTGATGTAGGTTTACCTGTGCTGCATGTTTACAGAACATACTGGTTTTCCAATCAACAGTTCATACACATTCGTTTCATGACGCGGATGGCATTGTCAAAACACTCTCCCACTTCCTCCTGGGCTTTTCCCGCTTTCTTCTGCGCTGTAATCGGTTGGGAGGCAGCTCTCCAGGTCTCTGCTGTCTCCGTCCCGAGGCATTTCTGGCCAGTGGGAACTACCAGCCTTTGGTGACAGCTGAATGCTCAGTCGTTGGCATCTCCGGGACTCCTTGGCACTCTACCACCAAAACCAAACCCACTACTTTTCGGAGCAACCTTGTAGGCCAGTCCATACGTTCATCCAGCTGCTCCATAGATTACTATGGCTCTCAATCTTTACCTCATCTTTCTCCCTCGGAGCAGCCGCGGGGTTCCCAAGGGAGACCTTGTGCTTAGCAGCCCAGGAGTGACTGCAATCTGCCAGCAGGGCTCTTTACTCCACCACAGGCATGGTGTTGTCATCTCATACTAGGGGTGTGTGTGGTGGGGGTGCCCATGACCCATAATGCCTTAGGGCCCCTGCTTGGCACCAGGAGGAAAGGGGCAGAGGACGCATGGTTGGACATGCCTGGCCAGCTTGGTGGTCTGTGCATGCCTTCCCGGCAGGGGTGGTCCTCAGGAAGCTGCTTCTCACACTCCTCAAGGCCATTGTGCCAGTGAACTGCTTCTTAGCAATGTGGGATTCTGGGAGCTGCTTTTAGGATTAAAAATAGTGCTCTCTGGCTGCAAAATGCTGCCAGGGTGCTGGCTGGCCCACAGACCACATCTTGGATGAGAGGCCACAGCCGGGGGTGGGGTGGGGGGGCAGTCCCCATCCCCGGGGGGCAGTCCCCAACTCCTGGGACTGTTCCAGGGCAGGGCGTCCCCAGGATTCTGAACACAGAGCCCTAAGAGCACAGTGGAATGCCCTTGCACCCCAGCTCCTTACCCCATTTGTCGCCCACCACACCTGCCCACTGGATATGCTTGCGCCTGGCTTCCTGCACTAGCCTGGGCAGGACCCCTGCTGGGGCAGCTTCCAAGTCATCCCTTCCTATCACTTGTTCACTTATTGGACCTAAAGACTCAGTCCAGTGTCTGCCACTAGCAAAAAGAAAGCCGAACAGCTGCCCCCAAGCCAATTCTGACTCCTAGCCACCCTATGCGTCCCTTTCAAGGCCAGGACCTTTTGGAAGCCCAAAGCCAGGCTTTTTTCCAAGGAAGCTCTGGGTGGGTTCCAAAGGCCCACTGTGTCCTCCAGGACTCCTGTGGGTGGTGCACCCATTAGCATGCCCTGAGTGATGGCCGGAGCCCCTGACTTGGTTCCTGACCCCGCAGGCCTACAGAATGACCACAAGGCGTTGATGAAGCAGGTGGAGGAGGCCTTGCACCAGCTGCACGCAAGGGATAAGGAGAAGCAGGCTCGGGACCTGGCGGAGGCCCAGAGCGAGGCCCTGAGCCAGAGCCCAGACCTGAGCCGGAGCCCGAGCGAGAGTCCCTGCCCCACGCAGGCCTTTGCCAAGGTCAACAGCATCAGCCCCGGCTCCCCCGCCTGCCTCGCAGTAAGTCAAAGCTTGCCACCCCCCCCACCCCCGCCCCCCCACCAACCCACCCCGCCCCACCCCATCCCACCAGCTCTGTAGGCCACGTGGCCTTGGGTGGTGGGGGCAACGATGAGGTCACACAGCCACTCAATAAGCACTGAACTTAAGAGGAGCAGGCCCCTGCCATCCGCCTTGCTGGTGGGCTCAGAGTGTGCTAAGGGCCCCAGGAGAGGAACTGTTCTTGGGGCTCATTTTAGCCTGGCGCTGACTTATGTGGTCACGGTGCTGCACCTGACATCGTGATGCTGGGTGGAGGGGGACAGCAGTCCTCTGCCAGCCAGCTCGGGGTAAAGCCAGAGGGCATTCACAGACATCACCAAGATTTCCTGCTCTTTTTAGCTTCGCTGTCCCCCCAGCCCCAGGAAGCCCCTCTTCTCCTGCTTTCTGTCCCTGCCATGTCCCTCTGGTCTTTGTGTCTGGCTCCTGAGTGCTGTTGTCCAGGTTGATCTGTGCTGTAGCATGGAGCAGAGGGCCAGCCTCCTTTACTGCTGAGTGGACACAGACTACGGGCCACGTCTCTGTTCCTCACTTGGGCATCTGGGCGGATCCCAGCATTTGGCTCTGAGGAACGATGCACCTGTGAATATGCAGGCCTGAGTGTGGAGTGTGTGGGCTGTGTGTGTGTGTATGTGTGTGTGTTGAGAGAGATCTGTCTCAAGGACATGGCTTACCTGGTTGTAGAGGTTGGCAAGTCCCAGTCCATGGGTCAGTCAACAGGCTCACGTAGCTGCAGGGGCAAGGGACCCAAGGTTGGCAGGTAAGATGGCAGCTGCCGACCCACAGGCATCTGGTTATAATCGAGGATTGGCTTCTTGATCTCCTTTCATAACGTGGGTCTCTAGCATGTCTGTATCTGTCACAGTCATCTCACTGGGCATCTCCCGGGCCCCCAGGGGCAAACTACTGCAGGTTGATTGGCACACACGCACAATTTTTTTTCCGAGATTAGGACGGGAGTGAAAGTATACAGAGCACATTGGTTTTCCACTCAGCGGTTCACACACGCCTTGTTCCGTGACAATGAGCACAGTCCCAGCACGCCAGCGTTCTTCCTGCTTCCCACTCTTCCTTCTTTCCTTCCCTGCTGCCTCCACAGTTTGTTCCTGGGCAAATGCTGCCCCTTGACCTTTTCTTTTCTCTCTCTCTCTCTTTTTTTTTCTTTTCTCATTTCTTGTATTTGAAATTGTGTCAGTCCAGGTAGACTAGAGAAACAAATCCATAGAAACTCGTGTGTATAAGAGTTTTATATAAAGGGTAATTGTACATTAAGAAAGTATCCCAACCCAGTTCAGTCCAAGCCCATAAGTCCAGTATTAGCCCATATGTCTGGTCTATAGTCCTTTTCAGACTCATGAAACATATGCAATGGCGCCAAATGCAGGACGGTCACCGGCCAGTGGGTAGGAAGTCTTGTGGATCCAGTGGCATAAGCATCTCAGCACTGGCAGGGGTCTCTATGTGGCTTCTCGGGCTTCAGAGGTCTGGTTACATCAGGGTAGCTGCATGTGGCTTCTCCTCAGCGATGTCTCGCAGGAAGTGAGCAGAGAGAATATGTCTCCCGCCTCCAAGGAGGAAATACCGGAGTTACCAGAATTCTCAGGAGAGGCCATGGCCACACAGAGGCCTCATTGGTTATATCTTGATTCACAGACCAGGCTCCACCCCTTCACTCATAATCCTTCACGTCCCAAATTGACACCAGATTATGTGACTACCACAGAAATATTCTATGCCATCTTTGGCCAGAGTCTTTAACCACACCACTGCCACCAGCCCAGCCCTTCACGGGGTTGTTGCTTTTCCAGAGGGCCACCCACTCCCCTGCTTCCTTGTTATCATTGGCCTTCATCGGGCTGGTTTGATGTTCAGCACCCAGGGCCCCATGACTTGACACACACAGGCTCCTTCCAGTTGGGTGGCAGCCACAAAGGTGAGCTTGGAGCTTGATTAAGCCTCTGGCAGCTTCAAGAATTCCATGTGTGAGGCCACTGAGGATGGGGCCGGGCCTCATCACCTCGTGAAGTAGGGATGCCTCTTGGCCCTGGCAGTGGCTTACTGGAGCTGAGACTTGAACACACCTGGACTTCCACCCCCATGCAGCTGAGAGGCGGCAGGGCAAGAGCGTCCTTAGATCTTGCAGGTGGCTTGTTCTAGTGAGTGCGGACTCCTGGGTGTGACCGTTGCTCCTATGGGCCTGTCCATCCAGTGGTGAAAATTGAGGCATGGAGCTGAGTTCGGTTCTGGGCCTGAAGGGTGACTAAGGACTAGAATCTGGCGGTCTCACCAGCCTCTATCAGACTGCTAAGCCTGGTCTCTGATGATTTTGAGTTCTGGTCTACATTTTTCTTCCACTCTATCCAGGACCTTTTAATGCAATCCTTTTCAGAGCAGTAAGTAGTATAGCCTGGCACCATCTAGTTCTTCTGGTCTCAGTGTTGCTGTGGAAGCTGATGGTCCTGTGGTCCATTAAGTGCATTGGAGTTATTGTTTCCAAGCATCTTTGGTTTCCTTCAGTCCTTTGCTCCGGACAGGGAGAGACCAAGTAGTTGCGTCTAGATGGTTGTTCATGAGCTTCTCAGACCCCAGTCCCTACGCACCACAGGCAGATGTAGACAGGGATCTTGGTGGGCTATGCTGTGCCAACTGACCTTGGTGCCCTCTGAGAGAGACCATGGTCCTGAGCCTTCAGAAGACCCCCTGGAGGAAGTGGCTTGTTTGCCCTCCACCCCTTCCTGCTTGAGGTTTCCAAATCCCAGAAGTTTCGCCCTGCAGAAAGCCAGCTTTTTCCCGGAATCTCACCCCAGGGCTGGAAAAGTTCCCCAGCGCCAGAGCACGGCTCACCGCTGGTCCTGTTCTCCCTTCTCTCGGCAGGGTCTGCAGCTGGAGGACACGATCGTGGAGTTCGGCTCTGTCAACGCCCAGAACTTCCAGTCCCTGCAGAACGTGGCCAATGTGGTCCAGCACAGTGAGGGGGTGAGTTGGCTGCTGGGGCGGCTGGTCAGCGTACCCTGGCAGGAAATGCTTTTCTTCCGGCCCTCATCATGACCCTGTGACCTCGAGCTCCGGACCTGGGCTGTGCCAGTCTCTGGGTCTCTTCTGGGTCATGACCTCACAGCAACACGATAGACAGGGCTGTAAAGAGAACGGTGCCCCCAAGAGAGGCAGGCGCTCCCCAGAACCGTCAGCACGTGGGTTCTTCTCCAGGCACAGACCAGAACCTAGGGGACAAGCGGTAAGCACACGCACAGGGAGACCTGGTGGCCCAGTGGGCTAAGCCCTGGGCTGCTAACCAGAGGTCAGTGGTTTGAACCCACCAGCCGTGCTGCACGGCAGAAAGGGGAGGGAGTCTGGTCCTGTAAAGAACAGAGCCCTCCTGGGCGGTGCCGCTCCGTCCTGTGGGACAGCTCTGAGTCAGGCAGGGGCCTTTTCCATCCTCCAGAGAACTGCCTCCGTTTTACTCAGGCCCCCATCCCAGTGCCTGCTCCCACTCCCTCTCCGGCCAGCTCCGCTGCACCCCAGAGGGTGCTTGGAGTCGGAATGGATTCTGTGGTGGTGAGTTGGGTCTTTTTGTTTTTGGCCCAATTATCCTACTATCTTCTGTTTCTAGCAATCGAGCTGGAAAACAGTATCTTATTTGTCATTTTATTTGGTGTGCGTTCCCTCTTGCTTATATATTTTTTTTAGTTGTAAAGAAATTCATGTATGTCCTGGAGACCTCAGGGCACAAATGGTTAAGTGCTCCCAGGCGAATGGGAAGGTGGGTGGTTCAGCCTCACCAGCAGCCCCACAGGAGAACTACCCGACCTGGCGCTCTGCATGCAGATCAGCTTGAAGCCACTTAACAACATAAACACGTGGCAAAATACATTAACGGCCCAGGAAGCTCTAGGAGGAAAAGTCTTTCTGCTTTTGCCTCTCCTGCAAGTAAGCACTCCGGCAGTTTGTTATTGGTTTGGCTGTGTACTCTTGTAGAAGATTTTGTATCCACGACACACTGCACGTGTTCTTTCAGAAAATAGATCCCAGTAGGATTAGACTTGGCAGTTTGGTTGTTTCAATGTGAAAAGTTTTATTCAGTCTATTTGGATCACACCCTGTTGATGGGCATTTGGGGTAATTCAGTTTGAATTCATCCACAGCCTCGGACTGAATGCTTTATTCAAGTATCTTAGCCTCTCGCAGAGCGTCTGGTTGGCAATGGTTGCCCAACGTATAGAACGTAATTAATGCCACTGACTTGTACACACACGATAGGAAGGTGCCAAGTCTTCTTACACAGACAATTACGAATACAGTTTGTGCGCATGTGCATGTGTGCTTTTGGTGAAAGTTCACAGAGCAGTTTGGTTTTCTACGTAACCATTCATACTCCTGTTGTTTCGTGGCATTGATCGCTGCCCCCATGGTGGGAAGCACTCTTCCCCCTCTCCCCTGCCCCAGACCCCCCACCCTGTTTCCCTCTGTGTCTTCCTTCTTCCCTGCCCTTTCCTGCCCACTTTGGAGCTTTCTATCTTGGATTTTGGAAGGTTGGTGATTGTAGGACGTGACTGCTCACCCTCGAAGTCTGTCTGTGATTTGGCTGCCAGTTGAGCCATGAGGGTGAGCTCCGCTAGGCTTGAAAGGTGTTCAAGAGCTATCTCTCGAGGGCTGGTCAAATATATTTTACCACAATTTTTCGGTTTTATTGTCCGCACCTTTTGTTGTCTTCAGGATGACAGTGTGAGCTCCTAGCCCCTCCACAAAAGCCCGGTGACTCCAGACGTCTCATACCTCCCCCCGCCCCTGCCCACAGTGTGATTAAGCTAAAAACCCTTTCCAATGTAGCGGTGAAGAAGATGATCTTGACATTTGTGTGCTGATGAGATGGAGCTTAAAACGAGCATGTTTGCCTTCCAGAAGCCGCTGAATGTGACAGTGATCCGGAGAGGGGAGCGGCATGAGCTTAGGCTTGTCCCAACACGCTGGGCGGGCAAAGGACTGCTGGGGTAAGGTGCCTTTGTCCGTTCCCTCACACACGGTGCTGTTGGGTTAGCTACAGAGCTGGGGCTGGGGGTGAGCCATGGGGAGTAGTGGGAATCCCCAGAATGCAACACAGGGGTGTATGAATGAGGCAGGTGGACGAGGGACCCTGGACAGGCTCTAGAGTCTCTTTGGGGCCTGTTACAATGATCTTACAATAGCTCCAGAAGGAACCCTGGTAGCATAGGAGATGACGCATTGGGCTGCAGTTCGAACCCACCAGCTGCTCTGAAGGAGAAAGATGGGGCTTTCTGCTGCCTCCAAGGTGTACAGCTTCGGAAACCCTCGGGAGACAGTCAGCTGTGCCCCGTGGGATTGCTAGGAACCGAAGTTGCTTGACGGTAGTGGGTATCCAGTAGCTGCACATCTGCTTCCCAAGCCTGGAAGAATGCAAGCAGGAAGCTCCCAGGGCCCGCCTTCTGATCTTCTGGGATGGAGCCACCAAGCCCTAAGCCTTCTGTTGTTTTTTTTCTCCTTCCAGCTGCAACATTCTTCCTTTGCAGAGATGATCCTCTGGGGGAACAGAAGCAGGGAAGCCTCTCCCCATGCAGGGACTTCCTCGCTGGGACGCTTACGGAGCTGGAGGTGGCCAACAGCCTGGTGCCGGGGTGGTAGGAAGGCTGTGGCCTCAAGATGGTCCCGTCTGCATGAAGGCCTTGTCCAAACCCGACCGGTGCCTCTCGGCTTAGAAACCACGCTACTGCCCTAAGTGGGCAAGGGGGCAGGGACTGTTCTGACAGGGGCTATATGGCTTTCTTCTTGTTGAAAAATCTTTCATTTCCCCCCAAATAAATGCAGTTTTACAGTGTGCTGACATGACCCGGGTGTCACCCCAGCTATGTTTCTGACGAACCTCTCCAAGCTCGGTTCAGCTGGGGGCAGGAACATCCTTAGGGACCTCCTCTCTGGGAGGAGCCGACGGGCAGTAGAACCGAAGTCAGGATTCGTCGCACGTTGCACGGAGCCATTGTTGCTTCTGGGATCAGAAACCGCCTGGTAGCTCTGTGCACCCTGGGCCGCTGGCCTCGGAGAACCCTGACCGCTGTCTTTGGAGAGGGGGAATCCTGCATCCTTCCAGGATGCACAGTGGTGTTGGCTATTCGTCTGCATTCCACCAGGGGGCAGCAAGTTTCCGTAACCTCTAAGCTGACAAAGCACCACCGCCCATTGGTGTGGAATTGATTCCTACTCTAAAGAGCAGACCAGCACAGAACTGCCACGTGGGGTTTCCCAGGCTGCCATCTTTATAAAAGTAGGTTGCCAGGTCTCTCTTCCGCAGGGCAGCTGGTGGGTTCCAACCGGTGGAGAGCTTTAACCAGTACACCACCAGGGCTCCTTTTGCACAGGGCTTCAGGGACCGGGAATTCTGATAATCCCATCTGACATGGCTGGGTGCAGCCACGAGGAGCCTGAATGGGAAGATGGGAGGAATTGTAGCATCGGCCCCATAATAGCAGCTCATGTCTGCTGCTATTCTGTTCCACAGCAGTAACAAAGTACCACCCAGTCGGTGGCAGAAAACAACAGAAGTGCATCCTCGCATATTTGTGGGCACCAACTGCCCCCAAACTACCAAGCTCACACAGCTGTTGAGTTAATTTTGTCTCATGGCAACTCCATCGGGTGGGGCAGAACTGCCCATAAGATTTCCTTTCTAAAGCGGTCATCCTTAGGGAGCAGGTCACCAGGTCTTTTCTCCCACTGAGCATTGGGCAGGTTGGAACAGCAATGCCCTAAACCACTGCTTCACCCGGGCACCGCCTGGAACCACGCCCTTCCTTGATGTGTGGGATCTGCACCTTGGCTGTTTCTACCCTGCTCTCAGATCAGGGCTATTATGTAAAAGGCCCAGGTGTACTTGACATTGCCGACAGGGACACCGTATTTGCAGACCTGACTGCCTGGAAGTGCAGGTTCTTTGTATTTTCTCTCCTTTAACCTGTTTGATGGTTTTCGGCATGCCTCTTTCCTCCCCTCTGTTTATTGCCGCAGTTCTGTTTTTTTAAATCATTTTATTAGGGGCTCATACAACTCTTATCGCAAGCCATACATACATCAATTGTGTAAAGCGCATTTGTACATTCATTGTTCTCATCATTCTCAAGACATTTGCTCTCCACTTAAGCCCCTGGCATCAGCTGCTCATTCCGCCCCCCCCCCCACGAACCCTTGATAATTTATAAATTATTATTTTGTCATATCTTACCCTGTCCAACGTCTCCCTTCACCCACTTTTCTGTTGTCCGTCCCCCAGGGAGGAGGTCACTCTCCTGCTATGCTCCCAGTATCGCCACTCACACCACTGGTCCTGAAGGGATCATCCACCCTGGATCCCCTGTGTTTCCAGTTCCTATCTGTACCAGTGTACATCCTCTGGTCTAGCCAGACTTGCAAGGTAGGAACTGGGATCATGCTAGTTGAAGAGGGTGGGAGACGGGGGAGAATAATTTAGGAATTAGAGGAAAGTTGTATTTTTCATCATTGCTATATTGCTCCCTGATTGGCTTGTTTCCCCAAGACCCTTCTGTAAGGGGATGTCCAATTGCCTGCAGCTGGGCTTTGGGTCTCCACTCCGTACTCTCCCTTATTCACAGTGATATGATCTTTTGTTCTTTGATGCCTGATACCTCATCCCTTCAACACCTCATGATCGCACAAGCTGGTGTGCTTCTTCCATGTGGGCTTTGTTGCTTCTGAGCTAGATGCCCGCTTGTTTACCTTCAAGTTTTTAAGACCCCAAACACTATATCTTTTGCTAGCCGGGCACCATCAGCTTTCTTCACCACATTTGTTTATGCACCCATGTGTCTTCAGTGATCGTATTGGGGAGGTGAGCACATGCTATGATTTTTTGTTCTTTGATAAATGATCCCTTCGGCACCTCATGATCATGCAGGCTGGTGTGCCGCAGTTCTTATAGATCACTTCCTGCAGAGGAAAGGCGACATTCCCAGGGGCTGGCTTTGCTTGGGCTAGAGACATACAGGAGCTTTGGTGACACAGTGCTTAGGTGCTCAGCGAGCCACTGAAATAACCCTTCGGAACCGCTAGCCACTTTGAAGGAGAAAGCGTAGCAGTCTGCTTCCGTAAAGAATGACAACTTTGGAAACCTGATGGGGCAGCTCTACTGTGTCATATGGAGTTGCTCTGAGTTAGAATTGACTCACTGAGTTTGATTCGAGGCACAGGCAACAGCTTGCTCTGATGGGAGTCTGTGTTAAAATGTGCTCCGAAGCTCTTCTGTTCCCCCAAACTGTCTATCCTTCTTTGGCCCCCACTTTATAGTCAGAGAGGTGCTACATTTACCATGTTACAAATTTGCGTTCAAATTCCCTAACCTCAAGTCCTAGGTGACAATAAATGTATCTTCCCCTATCCAGTTCATCCTTTTCCCCTTTTTGTGGGAGTCCCGGTGGTACAGGGGGTTATGTGTTTGGCTGTGATCTGCATGGTCGGCAATTCAAAACCACCAGCAGCTCCTTGGGAGAAAGACTGGCCTTTCTACTCCCGTAAACAATTACGATCTCAGAAACCCACAGGGGTCGCTATGAGTTGGCAGTGACTCGATGGCAGTGAGTTTTTTCCTTTTCAGAGATGTTGGCGAGCCTTGGTGGTGCACTGATTCAAGCCGCCGGCTGCTGACTCAGAAATTGGCAATTTGAACCCACCAGCCATGAGTTCAGACTTTCAGGGTAAAGGCCTGGTGATCAACTTTTATAAAGACGACAGCCCTGGAACCCCGATGGGGCAGATCTACTGTGTCCTATAGGGGGTTGCTATGATTTGAAATCCATGGCAGTGGATAGACATAGTAATCAGTTTATCAACATTGGAGTTTTGGTTAGTGACAGCTGAGTTGATTGCTACCACTGGTAACCCCAAAGGGGTAGGGTGGGGTCTCTTAAAATGGTCAAAGCGCTGTGAGACGCGTGCTGAGCTTCCCTTTGACTTAAAACAGTCCCCAAAACCAAGCAGGCTTTTTAAATAGAAATTTTTAATGTCACAGCGATGCATACGCCAGATGCAACCATTTTTACAATTCAGTGACATGTATTCCCCTGTAGGACTTTGAGATGGGGGGCTGGGTGATAGGGACCTAAGCTAACTAAAGTTCAACACGGAAAGCCTGTGCGAGGAGACGGGAGGGCCCGAAGGGGTGTTGCCCCGGGAGAATGGAACGTGCCTATTTTTAGTGGGCTTCTGGCAAAGTTTACTTTTATAAATTCAACTTTCGTCAAGTTTTCACTAAGATTTGGCAGTATTGGCCACTACGGCGCCTCCCCCTGGGACCGACAGGGGGCGTGCTGGCCTCGCTCGCAGACACGCTCTGAGCACGTGATCCAACGTCAACCTTGCTTTACAGCCTGTCGCAAGCGGCGGCGGCGGCGGCAGTTACCATGGGCACTGGGGCTTGGGTGGCAACCGTAACTAAGGAGCCTTTGGATCCCTGGACGTCTGCTGGGAGGGTCAAGGAATTTCAGGTAACGGGAGGCCCCAGAGAAGGCGTTCTCTGTGAGTCTGGGTTTCCAGGACAAGAAAAAAGGGGACTCCCACAGACCTACAACCCGCCGCCACCCCTGGGGGTCCCCACTGGGCTTGGACAAGGTCTGGAGCATTTAGAAGGGAACTGAAACTTGAAGTCCTTTTTTAAGTGCGTGAACCGAGTCATAAAGATGGCTGCTGCTTCTTAGCGCTGTGAATGGGACTCAGTCCCCTCAACTCTGCGAACCGCAGACTCTGCCTAGTACGGAATAAACCAGCGCGTACATATGTTTCAAGGCTCTGCCATCAGCGCTGACATCCATGACCTCCCATTGCTGGAGCCAAAGGTCCGGGAACGTGTTGAGTAGGTTGTGAACGACAACCCCGTCCTCTGGGATCCTCCTTTTTAGTTTGGGAGCAAGTAAGACTGAGGTAAAGAGACCTGCCCAAGATTGCTGAGCAAGTGAAAGGTGTAACTTGGTGAGATTCACCCCTGGGATAGGCTGTCTGCAAAGCCCGGCTCTTATCACTCAGCTATTACTCTTATGCCCATTGTTATATATGTGACAAATGCCTACATAGTGCATTCTGCTGCCTGTGAGAATGTGAATTTATTAATTTTTTATCGTGTGAATATATTTAAAATAGGGTGAGGGGCTACAATTATCCCTAAAAGATGACCGACCCAGAGAATCAATATGTGTATGAGGTTTAGAATGGGCTCTCCTGACATAGGCTACTCTTTTTATCCCCGTGGGAAAGAACTTGAGCTGGTATGGCACATTTTATGCATAAGTTGTTGTGCCAGGAAATTAAAATGAAAAACAGTGGGGCCTATTCATTGTGATTGTCGATTTTTTTTCTAGAGAAAACTGTATAGGTAAGCATGTCAGATGCAAAAGAAAGCCCACTCGAAGAAACAGACAAAGATGAAGAAGCAGAAACAGAAGACTATAATCCAAATGACCGAAAGAGAGAAGGAGAAGATGAAGAAGAAGACAATCCTAATTACAAAGGAGAAGAAGGAGAAGACAACCCAAATTACCAAAAGATAGAAGAACGAGAAGAAGAGTATGATCAGGATTTCCAACAGGTAAAAGGAAGAGGAGGAGAAGGAGAATATAATTCAAAGTACCCAAGAATAGAAGACGAGGGACAAGATGAAGAAGACCTCCCAAATTACCAAAATACAGGTGAAGAAGAATTCAATGCAAATGACCAAACATTAGAAGAAGGAATAGAAGAATATAGTTCAGATTACGAAAAGGCAGAAGGAGAGGAAGAAGGCCCAGATTATCCAAAGGAAGAAAGCGAAGACTATAATCCAGATTACCAGAAGGAAGAAGACTATAATCCAGATTACCAGAAGGAAGAAGACTATAATCCAGATTACCAGAAGGAAGAAGATTATAATCTAGATTACCAAGAAGGAGAAGAAGAGGGGGAAGAATATAAAACACATTACCAAAAGGTAGAAGAAGAAGGCAAAGAAGATGAAGAAGACTATGCAAATGACCAAAAGGTGGAAAAAGGAAGAGAAGAAGAAAACCTGATCTCGGACAAAGCGGGCAGGTTCGCACAGAGGAAATTGCAGGGGAAAGCAGCTAGAGCCAAGGAAATGGAAGGACTGAATGAAGAAGGGCTGAAGGAGGAGCTTACAGGAGATGAAGTCATCCGGGTGCCCCCCAAAATCACCAAGGCTATGATAAGTTTTGAGCGACTTGTGCTTCCTGGTTCTCATTCAAGCCTGCCGGGAGCTTCCACCGTAAGTAGTATTCATTCATCTCTTTGCTGAGAACCACTAATCAAATGCTGAATATACAAGCGGGCTATGGATATACAAAACCTAACAAGACACAGTCCATTTCTTAAGGAACTTCCAGGGTGTGTAGACAGGAGGCAGACATCACTGAACACTACAAAATAACTGAAGAGTGTGCAAGGTGATTTGAAAGGGGCTTTTATAACTCAGCTTGGAGGATTGTCAAGGAAAGCTTCCTGGTGGAGGTGTGTAGTGGAGTTGACATGCCCAGGGCTGGAAGGGGTTAACTGGAAGTGAACTTGTCTTGGAACGGAGTCCTGTAGGAATAGAGGTCTTACAGACTTCCTGCAGAATGGTGCCTATAGAACTGGGCTCCCAGTGCTAACAAAGAGCAATTTTGCTGCGATTGGCCTGCTGTTAGGCTGAGAATAAGCCCTACATACTCACAATTCACTTTTAGTTAAGTTCAAAATGCCCCATGATCCTTTTCAAAAGCACTTTCCGATTATATGATGGGACTGTCACAAGTCCCAACCAAAAGGGTTGACTGTTCGAACCCACCCAGAGGCCTGGCGATCCACTTCAGGTCACAATCCTGAAAGCCTGGCGGAGCAGGACCGTGCTGCCCCCATGAGTCAGCATGGGACCTGAGGGCCCTTAACTACCATTCCAAAGGTTAGAGATAGGCAAGCAAAGGGGCATGGGGGCTGGGTGGGGAAGCAGAATGGAGCAGCTCGTATTGTTAAATCACAATCTCATTTCTTTTTTTTTAAAAAGCGTAGCAGCAGTGGGCCCACGCTGTCACTAGACCCAGAAGATGCCCGATTGCTTGAGCTTTCACAGGCTGAACTCTCTGATTTTGAGCCAGACCTTTCTGAGGACCAGCTGCCCCCGGATAAGCTCGGAGAGAAACCCAATGAGGCAGAAGCCCAGACGGGAGGAGACCGGAGGCAAGAAAAGCAAGTGTCATACATGAAACACGGAGGAAAGGCCCACACCTCGGCCCAGTCCCTGGTGTCCAGCACCACAGATGATGCTTTGTTTAAAAAGCAAGACAGTGCCAAAGTCTTCCCCTTGGTGAGTTCAGGGTCCTCAGTGGGGCAGTCCTTGGGACTAAACCGTAGGGGGTGTCTTTAAAACTCCCCTGGAGAATGCTGGCAGGGCCTGTGGGAGGGATCACAGCCTGAATGAAGGCCGTCTGGGCTCAGTAGTTCTGCTCAGCAGACAGGAAATTCCAGGCATGGTTTTTCTCTTGCATAGAGTACTACTGATACAGTCTCCAGCCTTCCCCATCCAGTGCTCGCCCTCCTCCTCCTCCTCCCTCCCACCCCACTCTCTTTCTCCTCCTCTGTCCTCCTCCCTCTTCCCTCTCACACCCTCTTCCCCCCCACCAAGGGGGAATTACTCTACCTTTCTCTTCCTCTTGCTCCTCCCCATTCCCATCTCTTCCTCTCCCGGCTTCCCCTCCTCCCCTTTTCCTCCTCTTCTCCCTCCCTCCCTCCTCTAACTACCTGTGTCCCTCTTCTTCCATCTCCCCTCATCTCTGACCCCCTCTACTCTCTCCTCTTCCTCCCTTCCTCCCTCCTAGTCTCACCCACCTTCCCTTTTCTTCCCCCTATCTGCTCTCCCCTTTTCCTCCTCTCCCCCCACCCCTCTTTCAGTCTATCCATTTTGAATCTCCCCAACCCTCCCTGCCTCTTGAGACTTCATTTGGTCAATCCCTTTACCAGCTCCTTGCACCATTCCAAACCCTACCTAGGGACCGTGCGGGTATGGGGAATGAATGTGAGCACCGCAGCTGACTAGCCCCCAGGGTGCCAGTGAGGGATGAGGCTGCTCCCCTCCCTTAGGAAGTCTTCCTCCCCTCTGCCATGCTGCTGTCAGAAAAAGGTGTCCCCGGCTTCACTTCCTGTTAATTTCCATCAAAGATGGGTGCCTTTGGAAGGTTTGGGATCGATGAAATATATATATTTCAGTGTAATATATATACACTGAATATATCTATATCTATATCTATATATATATAGATATAGATATAGATATAGATATATATATATTCAGTGTGAACACCAAGGAGCCAATGGGAATGCTGGGGGCTGGGTTTGGGATCGATGAAATATATATATTTCAGTGTAATATATATACACTGAATATATATATATATATATATTCAGTGTGAACACCAAGGAGCCGATGGGAATGCTGGGGGCTGGGGAGGCCAGTGGGAGCCAGGGAGGCAATGGAAGCCTCCTTTTGGAAGATTAGGCTCAGGTGGAGTAATGGTGAAGTCTGTCCTCCTTCAGCCTGCCAGGGGTTCAGTCTGAAAGACAAGGGAATTGAGTCTTAGGATTCCTGAAAGAAGTCCTAGTGGCACAACAGCTAAGCACTTACTCCATGCTTTGAACCTCCCCTGTGGCTCCTAGGCAGAAAGGCCAGGTCATGTGCTCCCATGAAGATGATGCCTGGGAAACCTCCGGGGGTGGGGGGGTATCTCCACTCTGTCCCCAGCGCTCACAGACTCAGGGTCCAGCCCAAGCATGGCAGGGCCACGCCCCCTCAAAGGCTTCAGCGGAAGGTCTTTGGGGTTGCTCCCAGCATCTCCTTGGCCAGCAGTACAGCATCCTGTCTGCCTCCATCTGGCACAGCCATTTTCCTGCAGGCCTGTGGGCCTTATGAGGACCATACTCTCCCTAGCCTGGGGTGACCTCGCACCAGCATGACCTCATACTTACAGATATACCGCGCCAGCTCATGTTCACAGGGCCTCTAAATGGGACTTCAGTGGAACTTTGGGGGGTGCACAGTTCAGTCTTAGAGCTCACAATCATTTAAAATGGTGGCGACCAGACCAGGAGGATGGACGGATGCTCTGCTATCCCAGCCGTTGTGAGTGTGACGGCGGTTTGAGTGAAAATCCTGTCCCTGCTAAAGGAAGCCAGCCCGCCCAGGTGGCCTTCCGCAGATCCACTCTCCCTGGGCTGACTCCCTTTCCATGAGCTGATTGGTGATGTGGCAAAGTCAACGTCCAGGATGAAGAGAATGTCTTTTGGAATTCCACCCTTTTCCAAAAGAACAGTCTTATTAGAAAAGAATGACTTTTATTAAATAATTCTGTTCTTAGAAGTTGCAGCTTGAGACAATTATGATTCCATAATTCTACCACTCACACCCACACCCAGAGAGACCTAAATATAAACACAAGTTTATAGGGAATGAGCAGATGGAAGCAGGAGCGGACGGGACAAGAATGGAGAGGCAAGAACTTGGCCACATTGCCTGTGAGACCAGTTTTACAACAACAAGTGTTGTCCCAATATAAGAAAGGAAACTCACCAGGTTTTTTATGAATTGTATTTGGACCCCAATATTCACTTGTTAAATTTTTTCCCAGTATGGTCCAGTATATATAACCACACACACAAAAAAATTACTAATTTTCAGTAAGTAATCATGTAACCAAAGGAGCCCTGGTGACTTCTTGGGCTAGTAACCTCAGAATCAGCTGCGGTTCAAATCCCACCAGCTGCTCCTTGGGAGAAAAGTGAGGCTGTCTGCTCCAGTAAAGCAGGAACAGTCTTGAAAACCCACTGGGCCAGTTCTACCCTGTCTCACAGGGCTTCTATGAGTTGGAATTGACTCAATGGCCATGCATCTGGTTTGGTGTTTGTTTGATCTCATAACCGTCCTTTGAAGCATGTCCACCACCCTCAGCTGGGTGATGAGCTGTGTCACCCCAAAGTCTGAAACAGACCAAGCAACAAACCCTCACTGCCACCGAGCTTACACAGTCATCACCACTATCTAATTCCAGAACATTTTCACCACTCCTAAAAGAACCCCCTTGCCCATTAGCAGCCATTCCCCTAGCCTTCCTCCTCCCCGCAGCTTCTGGCCACCGCCACTGTCTGGTTTGTGTCTGCGCCCGGGCCTGTGCCGGGTATTGTCTATGCAGGCCGGCCTCCAGACCACTGCAGCCGAGCCAATCAGCACAAGAATGCGAGGCAGGCATTTTCCCCACGCCCCAATGGGTCAAAAGTTTCCTTTGCACTTTGCTGGAGCCTATTAAGAAGTCCTGGTGGCTCAGCAGATTAAGCATGGGCTGCTAACCACACAGTTATTGCTTCAGAACCGCCAGCCGCCCTGCAGAAAAAAGGGGAGGCAGTCTGCTCCTATAAGAAGCCTCAGACTCAAAAACTCAAACTCACTGCCTCTGAGTTGATGCCACTGGACGCCTAGGGACCCTCTAGGGGCCTACCCTTTCCAAACCCTCTGGTGCGGCTCCTTGGTCCTCTGGGCCCGCCATGAGTCGGAGCGGATTTT